ATGTGAAGTGGCCCCCCATTCTGCTCTAACAGGCACAAATTTCATCGAATGTCTCCCATGATGTCCTGGACGGAATTCAAATCCATTTCTCTCACTTTTTCGTAAATTCGCCGTCTTTATCTTGGGCTTCCCAGTCTTCGTGATAAACCTTTCTAGACAAAAAAGGCCAAAAATCCTGTATTTTGAGAACCTGTGGCAAGTTTGGAGGATTATATTATCCATTGGCAAAGTGTACCCGCCTCAGTTGACGACAGCATCTTGGTATACGAAGGAGTTGCGCTTGAGAGTCTTTGGGGCACTTAAGTCTCTTTCGATATCTAAGACCATTCCTCCTGAATTCCAACTATATCCTGCTCTTAGCATATGTATCGACAAGGAGACTTCCTTGTTGACATTTCCACAAGATTTTTTGTTATTCTCACCAGTGTATCTGAGCTCTGTGCAGTAAATGTACGTGGTCTTCCACTTTTTGGGAGATTCGGACATGGTTTTCTCTGCTCGCACTACGCTATTGTTCGATAAATTTTTATGCATGAAAAGTTTTCATTCTGGAATATTCGACAGACTTCAGCATTGAGTACCCGCCCAACCAACTTGCTGATACTTTTTCTTACTTCTAATTTATACATCTTGAAGCGAAAACTTCAAAATAAATAAATGGCAACTAACAGTAAAGTAGGTAAACAAATTTTTGTTTCCCAAGGCAATTTGATAGATATTATTTTGTTTTTTAAGATTTTTAAAGACCTTCGATAAATGCGACTCTCATAATGAGCAGGAATCTACAAAAATGTGGCTTTTCAGAATACTATGGACAGACCTGGCTTTGAACGAAACAGTTTCATACAGAATGGAGAAAGACCGAGAGCCTTTAGTCGCAATCAAATGACGTAAAACAGCATATTTAGGACATATATTTCCGAACGAGAAGTATGAACTGACAAAATTGAGGATAAAAAAGGTCCTAGTATGAGACATATCCTGGCTGGGAATATCAGTGACAGGACTGGGATAGATGAATGAATGAAATGATGAAATTAGAGACATACCGGCCACCATAAAGAGCCAGCGCATAGGCCTCTTAAAGGGGCACTTGTGCACCTCTACATTTATTAGACCTCAAGCCTCGCCAGTATAGTCTGTCTGTAGTAGCTCAGAGACTCACAGAGTCACAGAACGTGCGTCGAGGTCTCTTCCCCTACCCCGCAGCGCTCACACAAGAGATGCTCAGCCACCCCCATCACGGGCAGGTGGCGCATTAACGTGTTATAGCTAGACAACAGTCCCACCAGCAATCTTAGGTTGGCTTTATCCAAAGATAAGCAGAAACGTCCATCTTTAGCGCTAGGCCTAACGGAGATGTCTGGAGATGCTTCTTCATTTCTAAGAGTATTGTCCTGCAATCCACTTCTCTATTTTCCTAATGGGCTCAGGACCAACGAGCTTGCTGGCTGATCCTGTCTCCTCCAGAGCCTCCGCCGTATCATTGCTCTTTAGTCCATCATGCCCCGGTACCCACACTAACGATACCCGATGCTTCGCTGCTAGACAATCCAGTGCCTACTGGGGTAGATACACAAACACTTGTAAGAAGTGCTATATACAGGAATGATTTTGCATTGGTTATAAACAGCTTTCATTATTAAAGACGGCACTGCAAGGACAAAGATTCCTGGAAAATGGGTCATTGAGTGGTATAGAGTTGCCTGCATTTCTTGCATGTAATGATTCTATTTCGTTGTCTTACTGTTGGACCGTCAAGTTTGAATATGTACCGTATGAAAGTTTTAACCTACAGAATTTATATTTGTCGACAAATGATAGATTTGAGTGCACATCAAATTTCAAAATGAAAATTAACAAGTATTAACCGATCTCTGCCGGAGAGCTAAAAAAAAAGACTGGCAGCGACTTCCTCTCTAACGACAGATCTGGAGGTTCTCACTGCTTGAGGACGCAACAATCTTGTGCACTTCAATGCTTTCAAAACACAGTACAGTGTCTTGACGACTAAAAAGTGTCCGAGCGCTCATCCGGTTTCGATGGATGGCCGAGTTCTGCCAAACAGCCGTTCATTTCGGCTGGTTGGAATCCAGATCACAGAGGACTTGATCTGGCACGAACACATCTCATCAATTGCGGTAGTTACTGGAAAAGCTGGGCTAAGAAGTACTTTTTTTCACATGACCTCCTCACTCTATACAAGACCTACATAAGTCGTAGCCTCACGTTTGGAGTGCTTTCGGGTCAACTACGTTACTCATGCTCGAGGCTGTCCAGAGAAGGGCTGTAAACGACTGATCGATGATCCTACTCTTCTCTAACAGACAGTCTCGGAACGCTTTAGTACCGGCGGGCCTTCGGCGATCTAGCGCTAATCTACCGCTGCACCGACGGGCTTTGCTCCTCAGAGCTGTACTCCATGATGCCGCCGCGCGATGTGCTTGCCAAACAGACCCGCCTGACTTTGGCCACCTATCCTAAACGTGTCGAACTTCGTACATCGAGAAGTGGCTGATACGACCGCTCCTTTGTTCCTGGGGTGTTGAGATTGTGGAACAATCTACCAGAGGCCAGAGGAGGCTTTTTCCAGATCTACTAACCTTAAGCAGTTCAAAAATCGGATTAACAAAGTTTCTTTGGTGTCCTGCCATTTAAGCTTCTGTCTGCGCGGCTGGTTCGGTGTAATAAAAAGGAAACAAGGCTTTCATTTTTTTGACCACAGTCGGATATCGATGAACAGCTGTTTTGTACTATTCGGTAACTCGACCGGCAACTCTTCAGCATGAACTTGGTCTCGGTGGACAACGAACGAACTCTGTTGCAGTTGCAACAGTCAGCTTGAGGTTTTCACTTTTGGCCTCTTCTGGTAATCTATTCCATATTATAATCCTGACCGTTAATATAACTTTTCAGAATAAAAATTCTAGGGTTTCTGTTAACGTGAATTCATTTCATTTCATTCATACAACGTTTCGACCATGTAGGCCATCCTCAGGTACATGAAGTATTCTGGGGAATATTAAAAGCGTTACAAAAAGTATTTCTCATAAAATATTACAATACAATTACTCATAATACACGCATCACTGTATACAAATTTAAATTTGTTAGTAAACCGAAAACTTACTTTATAATGTTTTTTTTTAAATCTTTATGGGTACATGGTCACAAGAAGCACCAGCGGTCTGTGAACAGCAGATATATTCGTGAAAACACGATGTGTATAAAAATTAAAAAAAAATAGTAAGCAAAAACAAGGTACAAATATTATAATTAGCGACTTGATAGTATTGGCGAAGGAGGAAGGAATTAACAACTATTTCCTTGTATACAGACTTGAAGGATTGCATTTTCTATCTGCATTTTCTATCTGAATAATTTCCAAGATATTCCCTTCTTTGCAAACTTTGTTCTTTATTAAGTACCTATGCATTTTCGAAGTCTATTGAACGGTGATGTTATATGGCATGTTTACTTAATGCAATGGCATTAAAATTTTTATGTTTTATGTCATATTCATACTTGTACATTCTTTTGCTAAAGTATTGTTTTGTGTGTCCTATGTATGTTTGAGGACAGCCCTTACATGGTATTTTATATATTAGATCTCTTTGTATTTCCTCACTGATGTCAATTTTGTCAATATGGTGCTAGTGGTGATATCAGGTTTTTGGATATTATGTTTAGAAATTACTTCGTTAATATTTTCAGAGAAACCCGAGACAAAGAGCATTTGCATCTTTTATTTGTGTTCCTGTTTAGTTTATTATTATGGTTGTACAATTTATGTATCCTTTATTCAATGGTACTATTAATGAAATGTGTGGTTAATTATTTTCCAAAAGAACCTTTCTTACCTTTTTTAGGTTTTCAGGGATACTTGAATTATAATTTAACTATCTTCCAGAGCATACGGATTTTGTGGACCAGTTCGTCTCAATACTCCCATCATTATTACATTTAATTGTTAGTTGTAGGAAGTTTATGGATTCATTAATTTCCATTTTTTCTGTAAATTTCAATCCAGGGTGAAAACTGTTAAATTTTGTAAAGTTATGTTCAACCTAGTTTTTGTGAATGCATATGGGATAGTCGTCTACGTAACTCTTATAGACAGGAAAGTATCCTCAATTTTTCAAGACAGTTGTCATTCAAATCTTCCATGACAAACTGGTGAGCCCACAGCTACACATATTCCGATAATTTGGGAAAAATAACCATCTTCGAATTTGAAATGAGTTGTACTTAATCGAAAGTCGGCAGAGCTCAAATTTGTTTTGTGGGAGTGACATGTATTCTTTTATTTGATCTCAACGTTTTTCAATTCATTTCATTCATAGCTAGATCGACAGGAATGTTTGTAAATAGTGATTACGTCAAAAGAAACAAGGAGTTGATCTGTCATATAATTATAAAGTCAGCTTTCTGTAAACTAGGAATTTTAGATTTGTTTTTTCTTTAAGTGTAATTGTATAGTCATCTCTAATATGAAATATTTTTTGCAACGCTTTTAATATTTTCCAGAATACTTTATTTACCTGAGGATGGCCGAAACGTCCTATGAATGAAATAAAATGAATTCACGTAGACCGAAACTCAAGAATTTTCATTCTAAAAAGGTTTTGCTAATAGACAGTACTTTGTGCTGTCTTATTTCGATGAAACCTATAGATAAAGTAGTGAGTTTTGCTGTTAGTAGGAGTGAATATACCTAAGGTCTGCGTAAAAGGGTTATTCACAAGGAATCATACTAGGACCTGTTGTTCGTATAGTGTTGTAGATTTGATCGAGACTCTTAAGTGTGGGTAAAAATAATTTTTATCAAGCTTACTGTATCATTTGCAGAACCACCTGTTCTTAAATGGGAAAGTCTATTGGTTCGGATTTAAGCCTCTTTTAATCCATGCATACATTCGAAGATTTTGTGTTTTTCTGTTTATGGCAGTATAGTCATTAACTAGTTATTAATAAATACTAATGTTCCCTTTTATTTCCAGATATGTAGACAACGGTTTACCGGCGCGGTTAACAAATGACTACTACATTAACAAAATGCTAACGTCGTCGTCGATAAATCCGAACGTGTCGTACACCACGTACTACACGGAACCCATTAGGAGATATATCGGTGAGTCTAGAGACTGCTCCGTCTGCAAGGAGCCCTACACGCCGCTATGCCTATCTGATGACTCTGATATCGATTGAATATTGTTGATCGACCCATAGACATGTAATAGAGAGTAAAGTTTTTGTCCTTTTTACTGTATCATGCCAGAATACAGGTGTTTCAAATTCAACCCTCACCACTGGGATCTCGGAAACTGTAAGAGATTCGAAGTCACTTAAATAAGATCGAAGTTGCGTATTTAGGTAACTGACAAACTGCTACTTAGAAAGTTTATAAATTGAGAGTATTTTCGGAGAGAGATAGAAAAACCGATTTTTTCCTAAATCGTTCTAATTTTTTCTTGACTTTGTTTTCGATATCCTACAAAATGGCATAATCAGATTTCTAATATGACTTTTATTGTCCTTTATTTTTCTTATGGACGCCATATTGGATTTTTGTACATAAGAAAAAAACAGAATTTCGTAACAGGCCTTGAAATTATCAGATAGTCATTTGTTTCATATATTGGATTTATCACAAAATCATTTTTATTTTCTCCTGACAAGCGTTTTCCATTGACACTTTTCCACTCTACAAGATGAAGTGTTCAAATTTTCAATTCTCAGTTTCTTCCTCCGACTTCCATCACCAAATTTGTTTTTTTATTTAGACGCTATATTAGAGTTTCGTACAATTAAATAATACTTAGAATAAAATACTAATATAATAAATAATAAATGTATTATATTCATAGCTAAATGCACAATCAAAAATTGTATCCGCTTGCGCAAAATTTCAATAAGGAGTTCGTAAGAAAAAACAAAATTAAGGATAGAGATTGAAAGTAGAATCGTCTAATTAAGACTTTGACTAAGCCCTCTTGCAGCAAGAGTGGCAATGCTAATATGCAATTTATTTTAAAATCTCATTTCACATAGATCCAGGAAATAAACTACCTAAAATTTTTCAATAAATCGAATACGAAACAAATTACTACCTGATAATTTCAGGGCCTACCTAAGAAATTCTATTTTTTTTAAATTGCTAAGGTTTGGCAATGCCCGTGTATAGCGTATTGAATACTAAAACACTATCTGTGTAAAAATCCAATATGACGTCCATTATCAAAAATAAAGTTGGTGCTGGAGGACAAGAGACGAAAATGTTTTATTGAAATTCTAATTATTTTGTGGAGGGGAAAAAGTGGTAACGTTAATGTGAAATTTACTTTGAAAGCCCATTACAAATAAAGTCAGGAGTTTTTGAGTTCCCAATGGTTAGGGTTAAATTTGAAATACCCGGTATACGTCCTGTACGTTCTTATCCTCATTTGAAAGTTACCCTTAACTTACTATCAGTGTGAAAGGCAAACTTCTGATTACTACCTCTATTAACTTACAAAAATGTTCTTCAATTTATAGATTCAGCCAAAGTAGCTTTAGGTTATTACCAGGTACATACTTGCACCATTCTCAACGAAATATCAGTGGTACTCATCTACTTAACTGGCTAATTAACCCCATTGGTATTTTTGTATGTCACTCATTAATTTCCAATAACAATGAGGTTTGCATTTTCAGACACATCAAACGGACTATAGGCGAGGAATTGTTGATAATAATAAAAATCATTGTCCGACATTGTAGTCACAAACTAGTGCATAATTTACAGCTGCTTGAAAAAAATCTCCACTACTAGTATAAATATGATGTTACGTTTTATACATATAAAAATGACAAGAGAGATAGGCGCGAAAGAGAATTAATTATTTGTTGATATACTATGCAAGTTCAACAATAATGATATGAAAAATTTCATGCAAATGCACTTTCTAATACAGGGTTTTGTTTCCTTAGTTGTTCTTCAAAATATCATCAATATTCAATCGAAGGAGGATTGTCTCTATCACATCATTGTGAACTTACTGCCTATTTGTATCAAGTTTCAGAGTATTATGTATACAATTTTACTAGATGTATCATAGAAAATTTATTTTTATAGCTACATCAGTTTATCTTCTGCTGTAAATAAAGGCTTGTATCTGCAATTGCTTGTTTCTTAATATAGGTGTTGAATAACTATTATAGCGCTCTGCTGCCCATTGCCTGCTAATTTCGTGCAATTTTTTCGCTACTTATTGTTGAAACAGAATATAAAAGGTGATATATGGAAATGATCCAGATAATGCAATGTAATTAACCACCATGAGAATCAGCCATGAGACTATATTACGGCGGTGGAAATGTAAAATAGTAAATAGTGAAAAGAACTGCTTACTTTACCCCCGGAATCTTAGATATGCCACTAGGAAGAATATCAAGTCATCCACAGTCATAAATCAGGTGCAACAGACGTGTAAATTGTAGTCTTGCTTTCCAGGCCCTGAAATAAAAGAATGTAAAAAATATGTTTGCGAATACTGAAGATCTCATATTTAAGTATCAGCGTCTCAAGGCAGGCCTATATTTGTTTTCAAGCATGAAGAATCATTTGAAGAACTTCTTAGCTATACTGGAAGCTATTACAGAATTTCCAATGCTAGACAAATATATTTTGACTAAGAATAAGGTAGCTTGAACTTTACCAAGAGATATGAGAATAGGCAGAGAAATTCCAAGCCAGCCCACATTATTATTAAAATCGATGAGGGGGATGATGAAGTGACATGCGTGACAAAAGCACCCGTAAAACATTTCATAAAAATACCAATTATGATGGTAGCTTTACACCTACACGATGCCCCCTTTTACTTGATGTTTCTTGCGTATATGTCTGTTGTTATAGGGAATATTACATAATTTTGGACGCAAAAATCAGACAGCTCACAGTAACAAGATGCTCATCTTAAAATGCTTTTTTGTGTATTACATCCCACAAAAACTTGCCAACTTTGCAAAGTTTTTCAAACTTACTTTCTTCGGACAGGGAAAGTCTGTTCTTTCACTTATATTGAACAAAAAAAGCTTATATCCAGTCTTTTCTATAACTGATCGTTCTTGAGTCAAAAAGTATAATTTCAGGAAATGCAAAATCTTCTAAGTCATGAAAGACATATGTTATTTGAGGTGCGAAATGTCCTGATTAAAACGCAAAGGTTTCTTTGCAAGATCACAATGTGCGCTTGATATCAATGTCAATTTGTCTTAAATGGCCGTTGACACTGACGTTTTCTTATATGTCCATTGTTTTCTGGTTATTAGACATGAATAAAATGTCGATTGCTCTAAGAAACTTTACTCATTCTTTTTTTCATAGTCACCTTCATGCTTCACACGCCTATCGACGTCGATCATTATCTTAGTCTAACTTCAGAAAATTTACTCGTAATACTGATTACGAATTTGTAAGTGGGGTCGTAAATTGTGTCTTGGAAATCAAATTTTCATTGTGTTTTCTGAAATATCTTCTGAGTTATCCTTCCAAAAATTTCTTTATATCGGTCTTATAAAGCTAATAGCAGTGTGTCAAATATATCCAACTGCTCCTCAGAATGGCGAAAATTAGGATTTCTAGATGATTTCAAATCTTGGGATATTAAACTCATTAATGCTGGATCGGCATTAAGCAATCAGTGGCTACGTTTTTATTTAGACGATTATTATTTGAACATTATTAAAAATTTGAAGTCTGCAATCTGTTGAATTGCCGATTAGATCAGATATTTCACCTTTATTTAAATTACGATTTTTCCCGGTTTTCTGAATTTTCAGAAACTTTGAGAAGCATTATGGGAAATCACTACCGTGCCCACGTGTTTAATTAAGCCACATTACAAAAAAATAGGTATGACTCATCACTAAATCGACGTGGTTGAAAACCTGATCGTTTTTTATCGTCACTTAAACAAACATACAGGGTGTCCAAAAGAAATGGAAGTAGTTTTATGAGCAAACTGGAAATATATCGAAAATCTGTTTTCGTGGTTAAGTTGATATGTGCATATTTTTAAATTATTTCCTATATACAGGGTTTTCCATACAAACACGTATTTTTTAGATAGAATGCTCTATATTTTATTGAATATTTGGATAGAACAATAAGTTTGATATCATATAGCATATGGTTTCGATTGTCAATTGCTTAGGCATTTAGTGGAATGTCTGGAAACATGTTCAGCTTTGACGGTTCGAAACTCCGTTTTGAAGATATTCGAATAAATGTTAGTTCTCAAAAATTTTATTACCATCAGTTTGTAACTAATCAGCTGCTGAAATTTCTTTTTATTCATACAGGGTATCTCAAAATGCAAAATGTACATTTACTCAAAAATATCAAATGGAACACCCTGTATATTTCTCCATTGTTAAATAGTTTTATTGGCAAATTTTTCGGTTTTTTTTGAGTTATTGGTATTAATTACAAGAAAAAACAAATACATGTTGTATTTAAATATGAAATCTGATCTTCTGTCAAAACTATAGCTCTTATTAACACAACAAAAATAATCTCAGCCTACGGCAAACAATCGTTAATAAATTGTTTGAATATATTACCTTGAAGCAAAGCACCCATGACCAGACGCTTGATGTAATCCTCTTGCACGTCTAAAAGGGTTTGTCTAGGTATCCGCGATTTAAACGATTCGCTTACATGATGTTTCATGTGTTTGGGTGTTGTAGGTTTCTGCTGGTAAAGCAATTTTTTGCACGGCTCCAGAGAAAGAAGTCAAGAGGCGTCATTTCGGGAGATCTCGCTGATCAGTCCGCCTATTCCTATCCAACTATAAGGGCGCCAGTGGTCTAGATACTCCTGTACCGCTCAATTAATGTGGTAAAGCGCCGTCATGTTGGTACAACAAATTTCTCCTAGTTGATAAATTTACTTTCTCTAGTAAAAGAGGTAAATCGTCCCTTAAAAAAAGATTGTACATTTTACCCGATAGTGCTCCTTGGAAATAGTGTGGTCCAATAATTTGATCACAAATGATGACAGCCCACGCAAGCTTAGGTTGTTCTTTTTGTAACAGTCAAGAAAGGGGTTCAGTACTCTGAAATAAAAGACCCTAAGCTGTGAATCGCATGAAAGCATCTACTTAAATTTTGTAATCCACTGTGAGCAAGAATAAAGTAGCCAGATGTTATTGCGGTTCTGAGATACGCTAGGTTTTATTAAACAACGTGATTGTGAATAAATACTGGACCCGAGATTAAACATTTCACAAGCGACTGTCTTGGATTAAGGTGAGTTGTTGTGCAAAAAAAGTTTCACTGTTTTCATTGAAGATCTGATTTTAAGCCTAAATGTGGATTTTCTCGTTTTCGAATTAATAGCAGTAGTTTGAAAACTTTTCTCAAAAATGTATAAATATGTAGGGTGTTCTATTTGAAATTTATGAGAAAAGGTACATTATAGCACTTCTTCCAAAGCTTAAAATCGATAATGATAAAATTTTTGTCTGAATTTATTTTTAGAAATAGCGAAGCTTCGATTTGTCAAAGTTGGGCATTTTTTCGGACCTTTCACTAAATATCTGGATAACTGACATTCGAAACCGTATGTTACCAAACTTCTTGTTTTTAGAAGCTCTATCCAAGCGTGCAATAAAGTATAGGTAGTATATTTAAAAAATACATGTTTAGTACGGCATGCAGTTGTGGAACACTCTGTATATATCGAAATAATTCCAAAATATGCACTAGTAACATAAAAAGGTTACCACGAAAAGAGATTTTTGATATCTTTTCCAGTTTGTTGATAAAGCTACGTTCCATTTTTGTAGGGACACCCTATACGCACAAAATCTTTATGATAAATTTATTACTACTTAGTGATCCTTTTTCTATATTACTTAATATATCTGTATAAGCAGATATTTTGATCACAATGCTCTAAACTAAAGAAGTGATTTATTATATTCGTCATGTATGCAGCCTTGTTCCTTGCAATACCATTCAGAAGAGTTTAGTAAAAGTTGAACAATGATTAACTCTGCAATAAAGAAGAATAGTTTGGGCACTAAATAATACAACAATTAATAATTTATTTTATTTATACAATAAATAAAGGAATAAGGCCTGTTTATTTGTTAGCGTATGGACTGCCATTTTCCACCCACCTTATATCAGTGTTAGATCGCTGAATTTTAAAACACTTCCTGAAGATAACCTGACTTATGAAATCTAACCTCACCCAATTTTGAACACAGCATACATCGTAAATAATTAGCTTGTATTTTATCAGAAATTCCGAAACTAATTTCAGTTTCTAGTCATATGCCATCGCCGACGGCGTTACCTTCTTTTTGCTCGCTTTAATTACTCCACTTCGTTCATAAATACTTAAAGAGTAAATTTGCTAGGAACTTTCTCGGCACTGAGAGTACATGAAAATCAAGTCGCAAAGGATTCCAGCATTGCAATTATTGACAAAATGAAAATGTTTCTGAAGTTTCTCTTAAGAGATTTTTTGCGCCAGTTATGGATGTTTGTTGAAAGTTGGGGATAATGGAGAATAGCCATTTTGTTACCCATATCAACACAGCACACTGCCATACCAAGTACAGAGAAAGTATCTGCTGCGAGCAAAGCTTGAACTCCGTTACCGAATATCTAGAAACGATTATTTCATATCCATAGACTTCGTAACTACATATTTTCCCTACATACAAAAGGTTTTTTTTTATTTTGCTCCTCAGAGCTCTGCTCCATGATACCGCCGCGCGATGTGCCTGCCAGACAGACCCGTCTGACTTCAGCCTTCCATCCTAACCGTGTATTTGTCACTAGGGTATCGAGATTGTCGAACAATCTCTATGAGGAGGCTTTTCACAATTCTACTAACCTTAGGCAGTTCAAAAATCGGATTAACAAAGTTCTCTAAGCTCCTCATAGCAGCCGATGTGTCTTGGCATTTAGGCTTCTGCCTGTGCGGCTGCTTCGATGTAAAAAATACAGCCAATTCAAGTAAGCCAAATTAGCTGTATGTACCGAGTGGTCCAGTATTAAAGTGCGCTAGCTGTATGTCGGCAACCTCTCAAGATAGAGTGTATAACAAAAGTGGTCAAGAGAAATAGCTTGGAAGTATTTTCAGCTTCCTAAAATGGCCGCTAGGTGGCGGTATTTCAATTTCAGTAATCGAACGCTAGTATTTATTAAGCTAATATTATTAAATTTTTTTTTTGTATAAGTCATTTTTTCATATATTGGTAAGCTTAGAGTGGGGGAGTGGTGAAAAATTTCAGAGAAAGTCACAAACACAATCACAAACTTCTGTTTGACTGATACGATTTTGATGAACTTATTTTGTTTTACAGAGTATTCAATAGCCTTGCTATAGAATGCTCAACCTTGACAGGTTAGTTGAGCTTGTGACCGCTAGATGGCGCTTCGAGAATGTGTCAGTGTATTGATGAATTATTTGGATAATTATTGTAATTTTTATAC